CTGTAAGTCGTCAAGCCACGTGTCGAACTGGATCGGACGGCCCTCATGATCGAACGCGAAAACACGGAGAGAAGCCATAGCAGAGAGCACGCAGGGCGAGCAGGAGGCTGGCAGCGCAAGGAACAGGGCAGGCAGCAGCAAGGGGCGGCAAGCGGGCTGCAAGTGGCGGCGCGCATGCTGCAAGAGGGGTGGCTTGCGGGCCTAGGGTCGGCGGGCGGGCCGCAAGGGGCGGCGCGCGGGGCTGCAGGGGCGGTTCGCGGGCTGCAGGGGCGAAGGGCGGGCCACAAGGGGCGGCGCGCGGGACTGCAGGGGCGGCGTGCAGGGCAGCAAGGGCGGCGTGAGGGGCTGCAGGGGCGGCGCACAGGGCAGCAAGGGCGGCGCGCGGGGCCTAGGGGCGGCGGGCGGGCCGCAAGGGGCGGCGCGCGGGGCTGCAGGGTCGACGGGCGGGCCGCAAGGGGCGGCGCGCGGGGCTGCAGGGGCTGCGCAGGGCTGCAGGGGCGACGGGCGGGCCGCAAGGGGCGGCGTGCGGGGCTGCAAGGCCGGCGCGCGGGCTGCAGGGGCGACGGGCGGGCCGCAAGGGGCGGCACGCGGGGCTGCAGGGGCAGCTGGCGGGCCGCAAGTGGGCAGCGCGCGTGCTGCAGAGGCGGCGGGCGGGCCGTAAGTGGACGGCGCGCTGGCTGCAGGGGCGACGGGCGGGTCGCAAGCGGGCAGCGCGCTGACTGCAGGGGCGGCTCGTGGGCTGCTAGGGGCGGCTCAACGGGCTGCTAGGGGCGGTGCCACTACCAGCAGGGCGGCGCTTCAGATGTAAGGGCGGCAGGGCAGCTAGTGGGGCAGCTCTGTGGTGGGCCCTTAAAAAAAAATCGGTCCTAGCGAAGGACCTGCTCTGAAACCATGTCAAAGTAACGAACGAGGAATGAATTAACTAGGAAAGAGTTGGGTACATGTACTTATCCTAATTGGGTTGTACCCCTTATGGGCTACCCCACTATAGCCTACACAAAGTAAGCAATATAACATTTTGACATTGCGAACGCAACACACTTGTTCCAACGAGTCCGTATGCGCAGAACGTGTGCCTCTCTTTGATCGTGTAACTCTGTGTCTAAGCTCTCCGTTATTCCCATCCACACAAGTACCTGATGTATCTTTGATATACGAGATATACCAAAGTAGAACGTTAGGCACTATGTTTCAGTACATCCATCATATGTTTATGAAAATGCGCATGGCTCGAGTCAAACAGATGGCTATGAAAACGCGTCATGGCCATGATAATGGAGCTAAGAATGCGGACGCTAAGGACTGTGGCGACGTCTGTGTTCATGATTCCCGCGGGCAACAGGAAGTGATGGCGAAGACGCATGACGGAAGAAAGAAGGGAGAGTGCTCAAACCTACGCCCTTCGACAAGCGCTCCTATTGCAACGTCAAATCCACCATGAGCATGAAAACAGAGAACCCGGAGCCGAACGACTTGGTGGCTGCCATCTCAAAGAAGAAAGGCGCATCAGCTTTCATAACCATATCGCTCTATGATCGGGCTGGCGTTGAATGCATCGTAACGCGGGACGACGTTGTCACAATCGCTGACGAGCAGTGTGTCTCGGATGCGATAATCGATTTCCACAACATGTGCATTATCAGACTCTCTCACTATATGGTATTCACGCGTTTGCCTGTTGCTAGTCGCTAACTATTGCCATTTGTTCATGTATGTCTTACGTGACCCTCAGATTGTTGAGCATCCGAGCCCCGCAGCTGTCGAATGGCAAAACGTGGACCGTCCTTGACACCAAAGCATACACCTACAGTACTGATTTCCGCAAACCTATTGAAACCGCAAAGGGACTTTTTTAAGGTGCGAACATTTTGTAGACACAAATGTTTGTACATCGGTTGCTATAACCTGTTTGTAGCACCCTCTAACAAATCCATCCGTGGTACGTGTGCAGGAATCACTACTCCCTAATAGCCGTGCCCTCTCCTTATCAGCTCCTGGACACTCATGCAAGCAGTAATGGTGGGCGGCTTGAGATGATACTACACAAAAGTGTTGCACACCATTCCAAGTCGCCTGAGGTTTTCAACGGAACAAAATTGTAAGTGTACATTTACATGATTGCGTACAACTGATCTTCGTCCAAAGATTCTCGTATCCCAAAATGTTCTTTTTCAGGGTACTGGCTGCCATGGTGAGGCGTGCCCACCCTCACGCAGACATCAAACACGTCGATACAATTCTCCAAGAGGCGGACTGCATTGTGATGGGGGTGAGTCATAGTATACATTTTGCATGTCGTAGTATACATTTTGGTTTCCTAGAGGGAACATAGATTTACAATTGTTATGATGTCGTGTGTGCAGGATCATCAAATTCCAATGCAGCCAAACTCATTTGACAGCGGGATCTACATATGCCACTACCTCAAAGCGCTAGTAGACTCTAGCTTCGAGACTGTGCGCGATTGGATTAGCCTCCGCGGTGTGAGTTCGCTGCAGAACCGGAGTTCAATTCGAGCTGATATCTGCGAGCATGCCGAAGGGAAGTTGTTACCAATGCTGGCTCAGCTCGGACTCAACGTCCCACCGCAAAAGCAAGGGAGAGTGATTAGTGACGCAGCTATTGTGCAGCTTGATGACAACGATGTTTGCACGCAGCTAGAAAAAGTGCTCACTGGACTTCAGGTGATGAAACGTGAGGTTACGATTCTCAACGCCAGTGTCATCGCCATTGGGCAGGTACTCGGGTACAGTCGAGATCAGGTCTTAGCGACAGCTGCGCATGTCCTGCAACATGGAGGTACGGAGTGGAGTGGGAAGTCTGAATGTGCGGGTATTAGCATGCTCAATCCACACCCCAGCGTCCGTCGAGCTATGCAGAACCACTGCATGACACCCCAAAGGAGGACGCTGAGGGTAAGATTACTCGGGTGTATGCTAACAAGAAGTCAGGTGGGGAAGGAGGCGTGATGCATAAATCCCCGGCTCCACTGCCAATGACAGAAACTGTCCTACATTGGCTCAATTCCCAACAGCAACAACCACTAGTGCATCCAAGCCCAGCATCTGCATACCATTTCAGCTTCCAAAGACATGTAGTGTCAACCATACCAGCGACCGGGAGGATGGTGACATTGGGTGGTGATGACAACGACGGCAAAACTGCCGCGCCGTTCGTTGTTGACAAAAGTGACAGGACCCAGCTGCCTCGATATACTGGGGTGCATCATGAACGCAGCACAGGGAAGTGGGGTGTGAAGCTTCTGGTGAACGAGGAAGGGGTCTGTACACAGAAGCGCCTGGGGGCGTATACGACGAAGGAAGAGGCGGCATATGCATACGCTGCAGCGGTCTTTTTGTTGCGTCCGGGGGAGAGTATACCGGACACAAAGCAACTGACGATAGATGAAAAGCGCGCTCTAGAAGGGTGCACTAAGGACATCATGCGGACTCTTGTTCGGGCGTGTTGAGGGAATGGCGTGTGGCGTTTAAGCAGGAGGAACGCAAGGGGGCAGAAGGAAAGAAGGTGTCACCAACTCACCCACGGGCAAAATGGATGAAGAAGGAAGAATGGCAGTCGGGGAATTCGAAGTGTGATGGATAGGGAAAATGCACAGGGGTATTTGGAAATGTACACTCGGCCAAGGGTGGTGACAATGGCACCTTAAAGGACACTGGGTGGAAGGGGGAGGGGCATTTTGTCAAAGCATCTGAGTCTGAAGACGACTCTTATTAGGCCTGGTCGCATAAGGGTTAGATTTAATCTCTTTTCAAGCATGTGATATCTCAAACTGTACACAGCATGTGCAGAAAACGATGACTCTGGAATCATGAATGTGAAATTTTAGGAACATGGAGATGTACCCATTGGACCTGACCACTGATTTTTTGTGTGGTACACTTCCAACGATGCAAATGCGGAACACGATGCGGATGCGGAACACGATGTGGAGGTGGAAAACGATATGGATGCGCAACACACTGCAGATGCGGAACACATTGCAGATGCGGAACACGATGCAGAGGTGGGACACGATGTGGATGTGGAACACGATGGAGATGCGGAACACGATGCAGATGCACAGCACGATGCAGATGCGGAACACATTGCATATGCAGAACACAATGCAGAGGCGGAACACGATGCGGATGCGGAACACGAGCAGATGCGGAACACGATGCAGATGCGGAACACGGTGCAGATGCGGAACACGATGCAGATGCGCAACACGATGCAGATGCGGAACACGGTGCGGATGCAGAACACGATGCAGATGCGGAACACGGTGCAGATGCGGAACAAGATGCAGATGCGCAACACATTGCAGATGCGGAACATGGTGCAGATGCGGAACATGATGCAGATGTGGAATGTCATGGTGGTTCGCCGCTGCCCTTGTGACTACTGACCTAAGCGCTTGAATTAAGGGCGGTAGCGCAATACTAGGAGCGGTGGAAAATGACGACCTAAAGTGGGAAAGTGACAGCTAGAACGGTGGGGTTGAAAGCTACAGAACAATGGTAAGAACATGTGAGGAAAGTGGGAAAACGGAATGGTAAAAGAGTGCGGTTCGGGAAATGTTGAGAAGACATTTTCCGCATACCTAAAGTGGTCAACCGCAAACCGAACCGCGTTCGGTGCAGATGCGACAAGCAGGTTTTGGTGGCGGTGACGGTCACCGAATTCGGTTCCTCGTGCGACTTGAGGTGGAACGCGGACATCACATCGCATGAACCGCATACCACATTTCAAGATGCTTCAATAGTGTTTCTGGTTGTATCAGTTTTTCAAGTACTTAGATATTCAACACTTTTCTGTTCAAGTACTTCGCTATTTTGGACTTATTTGTGACTGAGTGAACCTTATACCGCATTTAGAAACCATACCAAGTATTTGGTATTCATGTCAGGTCTACGGAATCTGAGAGCCGCGCAAGTTAGTATTGGGTGATTGTGAAGATCACGAGAGGCATTTGCAAGCAGACTAGTGCCACCCCAATCCTAAGATGGAACACAATGCAGAGGCGGAACACGATGCGGAGGCGGAATGCACATGCGCAACACGATGCGGATGTGGAACACGATGCAGAGGCGGAACGCGATGCGGATGCGGAACACGATGCAGATGCGGAACACGATGCAGATGCGCAACCTGATGCAGATGCGCAACACGATGCAGATGCGGAACACGGTGCAGATGCAGAACACGATGCAGATGCACAACACGATGCAGATGCAGAACACGATGCAGATGCGCAACACGATGCAGATGCGGAACACGATGCAGATGCGCAACATGATGCAGATGCGCAACACGATGCAGATGCGGAACACGGTGCAGATGCGGAACACGGTGCAGATGCGCAACACGGTGCAGATGCGCAACACGATGCAGATGCGGAACACTATGCAGATGCGGAACACGATGCGGATGCAGAACACTATGCTGATGCGGACCATGATGCAGATGCAGAACACGATGCGGATGCGGAACACGAGGCCAAGACTTTCCATGGCTCGCCAAGCGGACTCCCCATCTCAGAAGGTCATAATTCTCGGTGGTTACACACCCATATTCAAAATCCGAGCATCTTTGGTGATTATTTTTGTGGCCTCAATTCAAGATAGAACGTGCCTTGTAACAACCATTTACAGAGACAAACCACTACACAACAAACAAAACAATGTAAGTAACGCGGTAATTCCAGTTTACACATACCCAATACCTTCCCTCTTCTTCCCCCCACCCACCTTCCTGTCGAGGAGAAAAGGCCCCGCCCTCGCTTGGGCGAAGTCAACCATGCTTTACGGAGCACAACGGTGTTCTTTTCGTGGTCATAGGCAACTTCAGGGACTTTTATCCGTGTGCGACAGCCTCTGGGACTCTGATCTCTGTGCGACGGCTTCTGGGACTCTGATCTCTGTGCGATGGGTCGTATTTCGACGAGATTAATTAGTCGAAACAGAAGTGTTGTTTCTTCTCTACGAAACTGCCCGTCGACGAGGCACTTGTTGACGGGAGGAAATCGGCGTCAAAATCGGGTCTCGCAGGTCGATGAAATTGCAGAAATCGGCGTTTCGATGAGACGTTGGTCGACAGAATTGTGCTCGACGAGTGCATCGTCGAGCAGAGCGTTTCTGGTTGAACGAAATCACTTGTCTCCAAAACTTGCAATGTGCGTGAATTTCTATCAATCGCGAAACAGCAAATTTCGACCAATCAGGTAATCTCAGAAATTGTACTCCCCAGGAGAATTCGATTCAGTAAGGAAACTGAACCTGAAACACGTTTTTACTAACAGTAAAAACGTGCACAACTATGAACGTTGTAGAACAAAACAACTTTGTCAGGTGAAAACCACATTGCATTGTCGTTTCACCTGCCGTTGCTGACTTGGCAAAGGTGCTTGTTTGTCGAGGAACGCTTCTCCAGGGTTCTTTGTCTTGGCTATTTGGTTCTCTTTCTTTGTACCATAATCTTGTTCTATCAACCTTTCTTAGTGAATCTATGCTCGAATTCTACTCAGGCATTCTAACACTCTGTCACGAATCACTGCAAGAAATCTGACTGTGCGTCCCACGCAATTCAGCACTCCCGTAGAATAGCTTTCTCCGCATGGTGCGTTGAGCGTGGTTGACCCAGCGTTGGAACCTTCAGATTAGACGACTTTGCGCCTTACCTAAGTTGTTGTTAAGTCGGCAGCCGTCTTAGTCGCCATGGTCGACCCTGTAGTCGAAGAAGGCGTAGAAGATACCATGCAGGCGAGAGAGGCTGGTGTTCGGGCACGCCACAAAGCTGGCGGGTACGGCGAGGCGGACTTGGAGATTCTGGTGAGACGTCTCAAAATATACGTTCTACTGGTGAGAACGGCCGAGAGGTGCTGCACGCAAGGAGCATCATGGATGCAAAGACATTGCAATAATAACAACAGAGACAATAAGACGAAGATACTAAGGTCGGGAAAGGGGGAAGAGAAAGGGTTGGCAAGGGGGAGGGATGGGAAGAGGGGGGTGGTGGTTGGCATTATGCGGCGAGGAGGGGAAAATCAGTGGAACGGGAAGGGCCAGGACAAGAAATGTTGACCACACGTATACTCTCCATGTGAGTGTTTGCTGCATTGACTCCGCTTGTCGAGAATTCTCAAGCCCAATCTGTTATTTGAGAATTCTAAAGAAAACAAGCAATGGTGACCACCCGTATACTCACCATGTAAGTGCTTGCTGCATTGAACGCTGTATTACCTGTGACACCACTCCTCGAAAGAAACTCGGCAGGCCCTAGGACTCGGTGGGGGGAGGAGACAGGAGGGAACGGAGGAGCAGGAGGGGAAGGAGGAAGGAGCGGCAGGAGGGGAAGGTAGGGAATGATGGAGAGTGCTTGCAGAGTTATCGCTTCAGTACACGTGGCACCACCCCTCAAAAGGAACCGGGCAAGCCCTGCGACTGGGAAAAGGGGAGTGCAGGGGGAAGAGGAAAAGGGGAAGGGGGAAACGGAGCAGTAGGAAGGGAAGGGGGAAACGGAGCAGTACGAAGGGAAGGATGGGACAGACGGGATAGACGGGATAGTTTGAGAAACGAGGGGAAGTGGGAAAGGAGATCATCAATGGTCGTCGAGTCGGAAGTGTTCCGCAAGAGTGCGGAAAGTTCACACAAAATGTGCACTTGTTTGCTTCAAAAATGCACTCAAAGATGTGCACTTCTTCGCTTAAGAGGTGCATGCACACAATATGTGCACTTCTTCACTTAAGAGGTGCAAACAAGATGTGCACTGCTTTGCTTAAGAGGTGCAAACAAGATATGCACTTCTTCACTTAGAAAGTGCACTCAAAGATGTGCACAAGGCTGCGGAAGTGTCGATTCGTAAGTCTTCCACATGAGCGAACACTTCTGCAGCCTCACAAGTTTGCACCATGATCCCCATGGCTGTCCCATGGTTGATCACCCCACATGCAAACTACCTTGTAGATATTTTAGGCGCCTCAAAAAATGTTTTTTGAAGCGCCTCAAAATCAAGCGAACACTTATGCAGCCTCACAAGTGTGCACCATGATTTTCATGATTGTTCCACGGCTGCTCACCTGCATGCAACCTTCCTTGTGAATGGCTGACGTGGCACCAAGCATGGTCAGGGGCTTGCCAGGTGTCTCATGAAAATCTCACGAGTGTAACCAGATCTCGCGGTGCCCACATCGCCCGAACCTCCCAGCGCCAAACTTGCAAGGCAGGCATGGCAGGCAACAGGTGGTCTGGTCCGGCATTAGGTTTGAATGATGAACAGGGGGATAAGGGTGCAAGTGGGTGCAAGTGGGTGGAAGTGGAAGCAACGCATGCATCTTACCAGCAAGGCCGCATGGAGCAGGAGGAAAGCAGATTGCCGGGGGGGAGGAGGGGGGACGCAAACAGGATCCTGAATGGTCGTTGCCTGACCATGTCACGACTTAGCCACTTGTTCAGCATCGTAACACGGCCATTCGTTAGGCACCGAATATTCATTTCATGGTTAGTAGAGGAGCCTCAAAGACAACGCGCACATGCATGCATGCATACAGACACCGCACATACGCAGCACACACCGCACACGCACGCACCTGTCCACGTAGTACTGGTGCATACTGCCAACCACTTGGTGAGACAGAACCACCTCGACGAGCCTCTCTCGCAGGTTCGGCGCAGTGGCCTGTCAGGCTCAGTGGGGGGTGGAGATGGGGGTGGGGGTGAGGGTGGGGAAGGGGTGGGCAAGTGGACATGTGGTAGGTCTTGATGAAATGCTTTACAAGACAAGGCACGATAGAAACATGAAGGTGACTTTTCAGACGCCTAAACAAACGAGTAGATGAAAAGCAACTTTGACAAATGAACTGAAATGCATAATATCGATTTGACAGATAGAGTGGCAAAGAATAGATTAGGGCCAGCACCACGACAATGTTTCAGTAGCAGAATCTCATATCATGATAAAATAGATGATTTTAATATGACATCGAGATGGCATCATTGCAACAATTTGATTAAACCTGTTGTGCCACGTCAGCTCACCTCTAGTGCCCACTGTCCCGTCCGCAGATCAATGGGGGCATAATCTCCGACCAATAGCGATGAGCCAAACGAGCTCACTAGAAATATCCTCTCGGTGTTCTCATATTCCCGAGCTTGATGCTTCCACACCCGCCGAATCTGAGGCCCGGTAAACCGCACATAGGCTCGGGAGCCCGTCAGCCGAGCCAAATCTGCAGGCCCGCCAAGAGCTGCTTCAATTTCCCTACATTGGGCTACTGTGCTGCTGTCCATCCAAATCGGAGAATATAAAACCGAAAACACACTTAGCTGCAATGATGCATTGTCTTGAAACGAATCCACATGCATTGTCTCAAATGAACAAGGCAGGAAGGAAGGTTAACGGGGGAATGGGCATGGGTGGGGGAAAGGGGGGAGGGTTTCAGGTAAGAAGGCGCAGGACGGTAATGTCAGCGTCATATTAGAGTAACCCAATCAGTAGCGGGTGTCCCTAAGCCGGCAATCAAACCATGAGGTTCAGTTTTGTGAGAACCGAGCCTGCGTGGGATAGTTTCTGCCTGGTACGCGCCCTAGCCTACGGCTATAACGGAAGCAAATGGTCTCGAACCCATTTCGTTAGACGCAAATGTTCTCCAACTCACTGCGTGAAGCTATCAAAGCCGAGAAACAGGCCGAAAAACAAGCCGTCCAGACCCAACAATGCCGCCACAGCTACGACGTCGAAAAATGCCAACCAGCGGCTACGATGTCACCGGAGGAGGAAAGGACACAATATAGACGACGTTTCCATAGGGACCCAACAACAATCGCGAGACTCGACAGTTTTCGAACGTCCTTTCCACAACCCAGACTTCAGATTCCACACTCTGGAGTCGGCTAGGCAGTTATGTCACGTGGCGCCTACACATGACAACCGTTCCTGTCGTCTAGAAGAAATACTCGAAGGACCAGGGAGAAGGGAGGAACATTACGGTGCACCATAATCAACCTCGTTTCTGTTGGGTTGACTGCGGTAGTGAGAAGTTGCCAAATCATCCTAGGAGTCTTTTTTGTGGAAGCGAGGTCTTCTGTGGCATCCTTGTACACGTTTGCTATACGCAATTCGATAACAAATGTAATGTAAAGAATTTCTTACAAAAGTTCAGTGCACCCAATCCACCATCCTCTTTCTAATAGAAACACTCTTTCGTTATCAACAACCTTCTTCCACCCACCTAGATCCCCACCCACTTCCTTACTCAACCCTTCAGCAACATCCAGACTGTACAGCACAAACTCATATTTTCCCACCCCACAAACCACTACAAATTCTTGCATCCTGGCAACAGTTGAGCCAACAAAATTCCTCCTCCCATTTGTCTTGTCTTTTTCCCCAGTTCCAGCTTCTCGACGTGCCCTCCCTTCCATGCCTACTCCTCTCCAGAATTTATCCCCCATCGCCCCCATCCAACCAGCTCTCAAATATTTCCACAATGTCGCTTCCAATCTGAGTGAAAAACAACCCATCAATGCCACAAGGCCAGAGCACATCGGAGCAAATCACAGTCGGAGGGGCCCAGCCTCCATCGTAGAAACACCGCAAGCTCTCCCAACCACGTAGGTCTAGCGGTTGCAAAAGGAAATTACAATCACACTGGGTGGGAAGCATGAAACTTGCTTTGGCTGCATGTTGCAGCAGAGAGAGTCAAGAGAGGTGAGGTGAGGTGTGTGAAACGCCACATTTTGATTCTCCTCTGCCCACGGGTGGGGCCTGTCAAGCAAGGGCGTTGTGTGAAGGGCGAGAGATGTCAGGTGCGCGGGGCAGGTGGGGAGGAGGAGCATGCGGGAGCGGTGGTTATGCCAGGTGAAGCTGAGAGCAGAGAGGCGAGGGGCGGAGAGCGAAAGGGAGCAGTTGATTTTGTCGAGTGTGATCTTGGTGGCTAGCGGGAGGTGTAGAGAGAAGTTATTTCGTCCGTCAACGTCGCTCTCACGCTCCCTCGACTCGACCGCGTTCCCTATACCGTTTTCAGTGCCCTCCTGGCCCTCCTTAACGTCAAATTGATTTGCAATGGACATTAGGTTGAGAGTGCGAAGTTGGGCAGCGACGCAGGAGACGAAGCGAAGGACAAGCAGCAAGCAGGCGGGGAGAGAGAGCTCTAGGCGAGACAACACGGGAAACGAGAGCTCTAGGAGAGGTATTCAGAGAGAAAATGAGATGGGAGGGACGAGATTGCTGTTTGGTTAGCCAAGTAAAGCTGCGGATTTGTTGAGCGAGGGATTTGGGGCGCATCGCGCAGGGGCATGCTTCGTAAAATACGAGAGGAACATCCGAGGTAAAGTAGTCGCCCGATAGAGCACGTATAATGCATGACATGGCGATGGCGCACGACACGAGCGACCACGAGCAGCAGCAGCAGCAGCCATCTCGCTCCACCACCGCCTTTGCTATGCGCCACCACACATTGATGGGTAAGGAGTTTAAGTCTCCGTAACGAGCTTCTGCCTCGGGCTGGCTGTTGAGGGCTCGCTGCGCGACTACAGCACGCACTCCGCATTTCGATCGCTTTGCACACGGAGGGGTGGTAATGGACTGCTCACCCTCCTCATCCTCCCCTTGTTCAGCCTCCAGTCCCTCTTCTACTAGTTCCTCCCCCAATTGCTCGCATGGACTAGCGCTCCCTCTAGCATTCATCCTGCTCCGTGACCTTTCTCCAGCTAGACGTATGCTCGCCAAAGGGTAGTCGAGTTTCACAATATGAAATTCCTGTGCTTGAAAATACCTTATGCTGTATGAATACAAGGAAGTGAATCGTCAATTTTGTTAGAACCACTAGCTAGGGAACAAGAAAAGGTGATGATTAGGTGAAGATTGGGGTGCAAGACTAGAGTGTCGAGACTATTTGTGTACCCCCTAAGGCTAGCCCCAATATAGCCTAGATACAATTATGCATATGTTTTGACACACCCCCATAGGCGAAATGGGGGATAGCCAGAGCAAGTAGTGGTCACAAGACCAGTCAGGAAGGGCAAAGCAAGCTCAGGGTGGATCTCGAGGAAACCACACAAATTCCGAGCACAAGCAAGTGGTCACAAGACCAGTTCACATGCAGTTTAATAATATAGCAAGGGGTACAGTGAGCACAACCTAGCAAGTGTAAGTATGCAGGTATATATATAGAGATCACAGTACAAACAGAGTCAAGAAGTAAGCAAGTGAGGCACAGTAGGCACAAGGCCTAGAACAGTACAGAAGCGCTGATGGTCACAAGGCTGAAGCGCCTTGGTGAACACATCAGCAGTGTTGGCCCGAGTGGCCACGTAACGCAGACGAAGCTGACCACGCTGCTGCAGCTCTCGAGCAAGGAAGTACCGTAGAGCGATATGCTTCGTTCTGTGCTCCAGTCTGTGCTCCTCACACAAGGCAATGGTAGCCTTGTTGTCGACGTACAGCACTGGAGGAGAACGAGGCCGCTCTCCCAAGTCGGTCAGCAGGTAGGTGAGCCAGCGTAACTCCTGTGCAGCCATGGCTGTGGCGTAGATCTCAGCCTCACAATTGGAGCTGAGAACGGAAGACGAGCGTGTAGAACGCCAAGAAACAGAACCAGAGCCAAGGCTGAAGGTGTAACCCTGAGACGACCGCTGAGTAGCCTGGTCGTCAGCCCAAGAAGCGTCTGAGTTCCCAGTGAGTACAACTCGGTCTCGTCCTCCAAGCACTAGCCCCATGCCCGACGTACTGCACAAGTAACGCAACACCCTCTTAGCGGCATCCATGTGCTCCTTCCGGTGACGACCAGGAGCGACATAGCGTGCAAGGATGCTAAGAGGGTATGCAAGGTCAGGTCGAGTGCAGGTCATCAGGTACATGAGGCAGCCCACAAGCTCTGGATACGGGCCACTCGGCTCTACGGACTCATCCGAAGGCAGAGCTGAGAGCGAGTGACCGGTAGGCAGAGGAGTGGGCTGAGGCGAGGAGTACGTGAAGCGGAAGCGCTGAAGGACCTGCTGCACCATGTGTGACTGAGTCAAGGTGATGGTGCGCCGTGCTCTGTCCCGGGTGATCCGCAAGCCAAGATAGCTTGTCAGTTCACCCAGGTCTGTGCACGTGTGTCTCTTCTGCAGCTCCGACTTCACGTGGGCGAGTGCCGTAGTGTCAGCAGTGGCAAAGACCAAGTCGTCGACGTACACGAGGATGTAGAACGTCGGCAGTGAAGTGTCAGTGCGTAGAAACAGCGACGGGTCAGCAGTAGAAGGAGCGAACCCAAGAGCCGCAAGTGTAGTCCTCAGTGTGTCGTGCCACTCACGCGGCGCCTGGCGGAGACCGTAGACTGGCCGTCGGAGGCTCCACTGGGTACCAGGAGGGAACGACCCAGTGAAGCCAGGTGGGCGGCGTAGCCAGATCTCCTCGTGCAGGCTGCCCTGCAAGAAAGCTGTGCTGAAGTCAAGAGAGTGGAGCTCGTAGTCACGCTGAGCGGCGACGTGCAGCAGAACCCGAAGAGTGGTCATCTTCGGAGTCGGGGAGAAGGTCTGGAAGAAGTCAACTCCCTCTCGCTGACTGAAGCCTCGTGCAACGTAACGCGCCTTGAAGACAGGCGGAGAACCCGGCGGCCGCTTCACCCTGAAAATCCACATGCCACTGACGATGTTCGCCCCAGGTGGGGGAACCTCGTCGACGTAGGTGCCTGTGGACTTCCAAGAAGCCATCTCTGCGTCCATGGCTGTCTGCCACTAAGAGGAGTACTCACCCGCGATCGCCTCAGCGTAAGAGCGCGGGGTCGGGATGTCTGGAGCATCCGGGTCTCCCTCAGGGGCAACCAGCATGGACACGAGATGAGGTAACGCAGCGGCAAAGCACTCAAACTCCTCCTGCCTGTCCTCAAGGACGTCCGTGCCAAGAGCACACTCACCCCCGACGGACGAAGGACAGACAGACTCAGACTCAGACTCAGCGACAAGGCTAGCGGCGTAGTCTAGACGACAAGCGGCAGCAAAGTCAACTAACTCAGCGACTAGAGCAGACGCAGCAGAGGACTCAAAGGAAGGGTCAGTGACAACAGTGGCGAGGAGACGCGTGACAGTAGGACTGGCAGCACGAAGGCAGTCAGACTCCGGGTCAGCAAGAGTAGGAAGAGAAGACGCAGGAGGAGACGGCAGAGGGACACGCTGAGGAGCAGTGGAAGGACGAAGTGCCATCTGGTGAGTGCCT